CGGTAGCCCCGAGTTCAACTTCTCGGCTACGCTTGTAAATAGCCAACTGGTCTGCCTCCCGCCAGCTGGGATTCTTAACCTAGTTATGTTTATTTAAATATTTATTTATCATTGCTTTGTTATATTGGTCCTGAAAAGCCCCAATCGGGAGTGGCCAATTAAGTATACATACATGCATACATACTGAGCTCAGAAATTGAAATATGTTTTTTTTCTAGAACTAAAAACTTATTACAGAATTAGTGCTAAAATAATTTTCCAGTTGTAAGTTTTATTCACCAGGTTAACTAAGGTATCCGTAAGGCCTGAGCTGTCCCAGACATTTGGGTAATCCTAGCTATGATGTCTTAGTTGTAAACCCACGTTATCTATCACCCTAATTTGGTACATTGATATTTTATTTCAACATTTCAACTATCCTACGATCCAGAGCGACGTAAGAGATTATTCTTACCATGTCACTAAGAAATGGCTATGGTAAGATTGCATCATGTATGTTATGAGCTAGCGTAAAGTCCGTATTAGGGAAATATCGGTTCTGAAGAGCGAAAGCAATATTCCCCAATACAGACCGCATAAGCTAGTTCGACAAAGTTTAACTTTATTATGTTGCTCTTTTCAAAACTCTGCTGATAATTTAATACCTCCCTGCGATCCTTTCTCGGTAAATGTGTGTGCAAAAGTTAGCATCCTACTTTTTTGTGCGTTCTGAAAAAGTTATTCGCCTATCTTAGCGGTCCGTATCGCAACACTTCGGTCAAGAGCCTATCAACACCACCACCAAGAGAACACGCTGGAAATGGATTGGTCATACACTAAGGCGGAGTGAGACGCACTATGTCCCCCACGGGACAAAGAGGACTAGATGATGATGATCGCAGCATTCGGACCGCCAAGCGAACTAATCAGAATTCTTCTTTTTATCCTGGACTTTGTTTGTCTCGTATTTTTCTTGCCATATAACATGCTCGAGTTCTCTGCTCAGAATTTCGGACTCCTGCTGTTTTAACTGAAAATTGTACATACTAGTATGCACAATTTTCAGCTAAAACAACAGGAGTCCGTCATCTTGATCTATTCGCGTCAGATTTTTTTTTTTTTTTTTCAAAAAGGCAGCTTCAGTTTATTTTCTGATTGAATTTCTCCTAGCCTGAAATGTCAATCATCTACCACTCTCAGCCGGCGGAGAAACGTCTGATGTCTGAGGGTTATAACTCCTTTTCCTTGACCATCGTGGCTTAACAAGAAATAACACACAAACTGCGGTGACAAACATGACAATAAAACGCAACGTTGGAAAACAAAACTAAAACTATATCATTTAACTTGACGCTTCGTATGTTTCGAATTAGGTTTACGTTCTTCGAATGCAGTAACTCCACCCAGGCGTCTCTGGCCATGGATTTAGGCCGAGGACGGGAGATGACTGACATTTTAGGCTAAATGTTTCTTGGGTCCTAGAAACTGATCATTCGTCCTGTTTTTGTTTTTGTTTTGTTTTGTTTTGTTTTTTTCTGTCTTGTTCCAGGTTAGATAACGCCAAATTTGCATGGTTCTTCGTGTCCAGACCGCAGGACCCCACCAAATGTCGCTCACGTTCGAGGAAATGGCATTCCTTTAACACCACTGGAGGAAAGAGCTTCAACGTCTCCTCCATTGAAGACTGCGTCTGTTTCTAAGAAAGACCGGTCCGACTAAACTTGGGCCCACATATAGATTTTGTTTCTCATAAGCTCAACGCTGTTCTTAGAAGCTCCAGTTCAAGTTAGTGGAGAGAAATTCTAGCTCGCTGGGAATAACAAATAAGTCATGTGACTGTTTCTGATGATTACAAACACAAGCCGCAATAATTATGTAGAAGTTAGAGTAAGATAAAAAAATAATAATAATCGCTCTGGAACAAGAGATAAACTGTTTCTAGTTCATTTTCAAAAGAATCACAGTAGTTATCATTCCGCTTTATCAGTTCATTTTATTGCTAACTTATAGCTTAAGATTTACGATCCGCTTTTTGAACTTCTTAATTGTTACCTTTTAGCTCCAGTTTATAGTCCTTTTCACATTAGTATTTTGTGACGAAAGCATACAGTGCTCTATTGCTTTACAGATATAACAACCAGAAATAACAGTCAATAAAATTGCATCGATCCGAGTAAAAAGGGAGGGTGGTTAGGTTTATGGCTTTCCTCTTTTGAGCGACTGTTTTGCAAATAGGTGACACCTGTCATGTTCATCTATATTTGATTGTAACTTCTCCCAAAGAGTACCCAGATCACAAGAGTGTAGCTCTTCCATTTCATCCTTCTTGGGTAAGTGCTCGTCTTCGACTGGCCATTTATTCTCAGTTCAGTTTCAGCTGAGAGTCATACAGATGGGTGTCCAAGTTTTCTTTTTGGACACCCACTTCGAGAGAAAATGCTATTTTTTTTTACAAGTTGAGTTTTGAATTGCAGGCTTGAGTCAGAATAAGCCAGCCCACAGAAAATTTTGGGTGCCCCACTTGTCCTGGAGGAGGAATGTATGACAAGCCCAAAAGTGTTCTGTGTGGAAGGCCAGGTTCTCTCCCTCCTCTGGGGGATTTTCTCTGATTTTCCTTGTTCTTAATTTAGAACCCATCACTCTTAAGTTCTACTTTGATCTCTAATTTAGTTGCCTTCAAAACAAAGGCACAAAATCAGTTATTAATTACCAAAATAACAGATGCGAAGGCAACTAATCTGGAATCTGAGTCCCAAAGGTTTTTTCAGCTGCAAAGTTGATTTCCACTGTCACGAGAGTGATCTAGCTGGCAAATTGAAACTGTCCACTGGAAAAACGTTACAGTCCTGCTTTCAGACCTTTTGGTGAACATTGCAAAAGCTGAACCCAAACAACTAGAACGTTTAACAAACGTGCCTCAACCTGTCCTCAGTTCTAAGCTATACTCACATCAAAGAACACAGAATATCATAAAATATCATTAACAAAAGAATGGTTTCATGATGAACATTACTTCAATGCCAGCCAGTGTATGCTTATTTCTTTGTCTCATCCTTTCTTTCCATAGCTATCGCCATGACAGCCTGTTACAATAATTTTTAACAACGTTTTCTGAGCACTATCACTCAAAGAGGGATTGGTACTGTATATTAATAGCAGTGCCAAGAGCTACGTTTTGAAGTCATGCTTTCCTCCTACATGTACATGGTCATTTCTATCAGTTTTCCAGATCTTAGGGACTTGAGTACTTTTATAACCTGCTCACTGGAAGCCTGTGAAATGGAGAGAAAATAATGGTCCTTCTCAGTTGAGCAGAAAATCACAGTGTGACAATAACAAAGCCAATAATTCTTTGAGACCAATTCATAAACACAAACATTATATGGAATGTGTTGTTCCATACAATATCTCTACCCTTTTAAACAGAAAATATGTATATAACTTCCTTTAAAACTTTGGCCTTGATATCATCCTTTGCTTGGGGTAGGGGAAGGTTAATAGATATTTTCAGGAAACAAAATAAGTCAGTGCAGGTAGGATTTTTCTGAAGTGAGGGAGGCATGGAGTCGTGGACATACGGTTACCACTACCATCTTTCAAAAAGTTCATCTTGCTAAACTCATGGACAAAAACATTGGCCTAGGAAGAACATGATCTAAACTCAGATTCACTGGATAGATAAAATAACTTCCTGTTGTCAATTACCTGATGAAGTGAGTGTAGCATTGGACTCTTTAGAAGGAATTGAAAGGCTTCCACTGACTGTGAATCTACATGTGATGACTCGGTGAAGCATACAAACAATGCCGCAGCCACACTGTGGATCTGACAGTACTGTAAAACTAAACAAAACATATTTCTATGAGTTTTCTAAGAAATGAATGATTTCGTTCTTGTACCAGATGATTGGAAACATATTCCAGACTACCAGATCAGTCATATGCAAATTGTATTCCACTTTAAAACCATTTTTTAATCCCCTATTTAATTTATGAAAAGGAGGAAATAGTTCTGTACAGGCGCGCAGATGATCCCAGCCCGCAAATGATCCCCATACCGCAAATGATCCTGAAATCGCTTATATTTTATTACTGTGAAACTCAGGAAACCATGAACATTTGGATTTGATTCCAAAAGATTAACTTGGTACTGAACCAATCACAATAAAGTTCAGGACACACAAGAACCACAACCAATAGGCCACGTTTGATATATCAATATTCTAACATCGATCTGAGGCTTTAAGGTCAAAATTGCAAATTTTTTAAGTTTCCTTTGTCTTTCAATTCCCAAAAGAGACTTGGATACAAGGAAAACACCACCACACATCCCGAAAGCCTCGAAGCCATGTTAGAATATTGGTATCTCGAACGTGGCCTATTACTGCTGGTGTTTGCCATTTAGTTTTCTCATGCTTAATTGGTTTTTTCCGTGCTACACAATAACAATCCTTCAATATTTCTGGTATTCATGGGTTTCTGAGTTTCAAAGTAATAATACAATATCTTGATACAACAGTTACTATATGAAATGCAAGAAAATGTGCAGTATGAACGATTTGAATGCAAATTTCACAACCTTAAAAATGATATCCAACATCACAAAATCCTGTGTTTGAAAGTTGTAGTTTAGTTAGATCCTTCCCTGAATGACTTTATTAGGTCTGGGCCTGAGATGTATAAACACAGGATGTTCACCGTATCCTCAAATTTGGAGACAACTGAGAATTCCCAAGTGGATTAACTACATTTTTACTACAGCAACTAGCAAAAAGGAATCTTAGGCACTTTCGAGGGAGTCTGTGGCTATCTAGGATGCAAGTATGAGAAGTGTACAGGGAAAAGTTTGAAGTGGTTAATTAGATGGCAGAGGTATCTTTGAAGATTCCTGTTTCTTTTTGTGGTATGTTTCCTAAACGAAAAATTTATGCAGTCGACACATGTCAATTTACTATTTTGCGCAGTATGTTTAACGTTTTTATTGCTGCTTTTATGCCTGAGGTACTTGTCTTTTATTAAGAAAATCTCTATCAATTCATAGACTTTTCATGGAGTCCACACCATTCCGAACTTCTTATGTTGGAATCAATTCCGGTCCAGGGATCATTTGTGGTACAATTTGGGGGTCATTTGCGGTTCAGGGATCATTTGTGGGCCAGGATCATTTGCGGGCCTGTACAGTTCAAATATTGGCTATTTTACCTGATGCTGCAACTCCACTCATGACATTAGGAGTTTCCAAAAATGAGCATTCTTCGTGTAAAATCTTTTCTTGCCAGGAATCTGTCTTTAACACTTTTACAAAGTCAGACTTGAGATTCTCAGGAGCATTGGTGTGATACTCACAGGCTGCCAATGATGTTAGAATAACAACTTTGGAAGGCTTCAAATTCTCAAACAACTGAAACATGAAGGTCTAAATCAAGGTCTACTCAATTGACTGATGATGTTAATTATTGGCAAAGTTAACAACTGAGATGACTGACCAACGAACAATGGAATGAAGAATGGAAGGCACGATGAAGGAAACAAAAAGAACAAATGTGAGGGGGTGAGGGGATTTTTTTTCTCTATTCGCGTTTTTTTTTTTTTTTTACNTTTTTTTTTTTTTTTTTTTACTTCCGTTTTGGTGGTCTGTTTTTTTATGGGGTTTTGACTCCTTTACAGATCGTCCATATATATGGCTTATTTTTCTTCTTTGTAGTCATTAAATTGTACATAAATAAAAATAAAAATAAAACATAAATCTTTCACCCTCCTAATGATTCCCGCCTCCTATTTTCTTACCTCCACCACAAGCTAACACAGCAACATACACCAGGAACATACACAAACTGCCACTTGAAGTGATGTGTAAAATCTTAAAGGCAACTTTTCCCATTATCTCGGATAACGGGAACTTTCAGTAAACTGGATTATCTAAAGAAACGTTTATCGATGGAACTATTCTCCCATACATACCTTTTCTGTCCAGTGGAACGCTTTCTCTTGAGGTACCGGCGTTCGACATTGAAAAAATACTGAGTCATCATGATTCGTTGTTAGCCGATACAGACAACACGTATCACCTGATTTGAACTGATTACACTGTTTTTCGAATTCCAGCTCATTCCCCCTTTTTGAAGTAAGACAGGCGACAACTTCACTCCCTGCTGATAAATAATGAGCTTCTACAAATGTTGTAGCAACTTCTCCGACCGCGAGAACCATCAAGGGACATTCTGTCACAGATGATTCCTGATCTATTTTCAGGTGAGGCGCCCAGTGGAAATTTAAATTCCTTGAATCATCCTCTGAAGTGGATGTTTCCTCGTCCTCCTCGTCGTCTTCGTCGTAAACTGCGCGAGAAGAAGGAAACCTTACTTCCCAAACACCAAAAGCTGCCGCCATTTTGATTATAATAGTACCCAGGCCGTCCACCTGCGTTAATAAAAGTAAGAATAGGTCCGCGTAGCGTACAGAGACTCTTATCAAAAGTAAGCTAGAAAGAGTTTTAATTGAAGACCACCATCCGGAAGCTTAGAATGATAACGATGTGACTGGATTACATGACCTTGAGAAATTCAGCTTTTTGGCCAGAAAAACGTATACTACGTGTGTATGTTTTCTTATGCTTTGTACAACCGAAATGGCTACCATCCTGATGAGAAGGCGCCGCAGTCCTCCTTCACCAAGACAGACCTACACTGAACGCCAGAGGGAAAGCGCTAGCAAAAGAAGGGGCGCCTGAAGATCATGTGGTGGTGTGCGACGGAGAAGGAAATAGACAGCATTCAAATTATGAAAAAGGACCATTAGATGTGGAGGGATTACGTTGCTGCCCTACACGCTACCCCCCGTAATGGGCATGACTGAGAAAAAGAAGGATATGTTTTGTTTCATTGATCTAATACTTAGATCGGTAGCCAATAAGTACTTGCTTTGGTAAAAAGGTTGAATCTTTTTGGCTACTATATAAATGATAAACTAGAAAATATTTCGTATGTAAATTTATGTAAAAGAGAGCGAAGAGAACCTATCAGAAAATGAAATGCTCTTCTGAAAACATGATTGATCATCGCAGTAATACACAACTTAAGCAGTTGTGAAAATAAAGCCTGAAAAAAATTCAGGCCTGAACGGGATTCGAACCCATGACCTCTGCGATACCGGTGCAGCGCTCTACCAACTGAGCTATCAAGCCAACTGGGAGCTGGTTACGTTGTGAGTTCGTAATCATGTCATGGTCATGGGTTCGAATCTTCACAACTGTTTAAGGTTACCGTATACCTTCAGGGGTGTCTCGCGTCCAAGCGATGTAGCGCGTCCGGTTTAAGTTGTAGATACCTAAACCCCTATATCAAATTAAAGCTTATAGAGCTGGCTATCAAACTATAAATTTTGAAATAAAATGACTGTCCGATTTTTTCATGGCCACTAAATGCGAGCGTCCTAATCACCATTTGGAAGCTACAAGTCAAAGTGAATTTTGTTTTTCGCCAATTTATTTTTTCCTCGGTTTCAGGAAAAAAAAGCGCTAAAAAGCGTGTCTGCGTTTTGCCATACTCAATTGCAGTAAAAAGTTACAGAACATTTTCGAAATAGGACTATAAAGATGTGAAGTGATCGTATAAAAATCGCTCTCGGAGAAAAAATGCTTCGAAATAAACAATTCGCAGACATTTCTTGGTTTTTTATATGAAAATCTAGCTACTGTCCAATTTGGAGGACAATCAAACAAATTCCCTTTCAGTTGTAACTCTTTAAAGTGTCTGCTTCAAGCGAAAACATTTATTCGAGAAAACAGCGCTCAGAAAAATCGCTTGCTTCGCAAACAAACTCCGCCCACAAACGCCTCCAACTGGGTTCTCAGATCACTGAGCCAATCAGCGCTTGGAAAATTTACTACTATTAACTCGCGGTGAAATCTACGCGCGAATCTCCAAAACACCCTTGCGTTTCGCACGGAAAAAGGATACGAACGCTAGTGTGGCTGGGCGACGAGAACAAACAAAAGAAAGCGCGGCGGAACAAATATGCATGGATAATATTCCAATGGATCTCAATGCGTTCGACGTTTCATCAGTACCGGACTCAACAAAAAAGTCACTGTAAACATCGCTCTTATCGCTGTCGAGGTCCCAGATTTTTACAGAACCTTTCTCCTCTCTTGACTCGATCTTTTTGCCCGCTTGATACCATAGCTATTCTTTTATATGTTACTCTTTACTCTTTACTCTTTACTCTTTACTCTTTACTCTTTACTCTTTACTCTTTACTCTTTACTC